TTCTTTTCTTTTCTTTTCTTTTCTTTTCTTTTCTTTTCTTTTCTTTTTTTTTTCTTTGATACTATGATCCCAAGATAATTAAGTCTCATCACACTTGCTTGGACATCAGTGATTTAGCGGTATCATGCTATAATTCCTTTTGGTAAGATTTGCCTATACATGACTCACAGGGCATAAACATCTTCAATCCTGGAATATTAGAGCCAAAAGAGACCTTATGAATCATTTAATTCAATTTGTTCATTTTAGGACAGTGAACTTACAATTCAAACAATTTCAGTACTTTTTTTTTTTTTTGCTTTTTTTAAAACTTAAATATTGTAAGAATCAGTTGGTACTATAGCTAGCTCTAAAACTCAGGTGCCTCAATTCCCAAACAAGTGGTTACCCACTGTCAAAGGGTTTCTCATATTCCTGAATTTATTGTTTATTTATGTCAAAAACCTGGCTTTGCATTTTGTTATGTAACTAGTTAGGGGTGATAGCATTATGTTGAAGTCACTCCATTAAAGGTTTTGAACATTAGCGAAAGAAGCACTTAAGTGATTGGTGGATTGAAAAGATTCAAGTTGGTGTGTGTCTTCAGAAAGCTAACTATCAATATCCAGGCCTTTACTAAGTACCAGACATGGTGATAAGTGCTTGACATATGAGAGCCTAAATAGTAGCCAACAGTAGTGATACGAAGGTGAAGAAGGGGCATGTGCTCAGTGATCACTGTGCCAGACATTATATATCTGCCAGACAATACTTTATAAGGTCAACTAAAATATAACCAAAGCTACTCATCAATTAAAATATCAAAAGCTACCATATTTTGAAGTGAATACTGTATGTTAATCACTTTATAAATAAGTTCCTTTGATTTCCATAAAAACACCTCTGCTTCTTTGCCCCAGAAAGCAATTGTACATAAGAGAAATAAGGCTCAGACATTTTGACTGTGGTCTACCAACCAAGCTCGGTTCCTCAGCAATATGCTCACATGTGCATATACTCTCAACATTCATTTATCTTCATGATTGTCAAACTCATTAGCTTATTTTCTTCACGATGTTTCAGCACATGATATTCCCTCTGCTTAGAATATTGTTCCGGACATCCTTTTCATTGTTCTGCCATCTATTTGTCTCACTAGACTAAGAACACCATAGATTTGGAAAGATCTTTCACATTTGTATCAGAATTTAGCATAGTATTGAACATAGATGAAGTACTCTCAATGACTTTTTTTTTTTAACACAAATAACATTCTTTCACCTCTAGAGCTGATGAATACTCTAGTGAACAATTAATAACATCTATCTGGATGTTTCTAATTATATTCAGCTGTGTTCAGTCATTTAGAAAGAATTGTTTCACAAAAAATTAACACTGATGTTGTTAAACGGTCCCATCTGTATTCTGGACCTTGTGTATTAGTTACCTCTGACCATAGTTATAAAATAGAATTCTACTTTGTGATAGCTCTGTATCAGTCAGTGTTTTCCACAGAAACAGAACCAATGGGACACATACATATCCATAATAACAGATATACTTTCAGGAATTGGCTTATGTGATTGTATGGGTTGGCATTTGTGCCAGCTGGAAACTCAGGCAAGAGTTAACGTTGCAGTCTTGACTCAAAAATCCATACCGCAATCCAGTAGAGTAGAAACTCAGGATTTCTATGTGAAGTTTTGAGGCAAGATTCTGTCTTCTCTGGAAAACTCAACTTTGCTCTTAAGGCTTTCAACTGATTGGATGAAACACACATTATGGAGTGTAATCTCCTTTATTCAAAGTCTACTGATTGTAGATGTTAATCACATCTACAAAACAACTTCACAGAAATATCTAGGCTAGTATTTGATCAATAACAAGACAATATAGCCTGGTCAGGTTGACACATAAAATTTAACTATCCCAAGCACCACAAATATTGGCTAAAATTAGTACTTTAACAACAGCGCAGACATGAAGCTTCCAGAATATCTCTCTATGCACTGTGTAAACCCTCGCTAAGTCTAAGTGGAGATGGTTGAAGATGGTTTGAGGTTTCATTAAAACCTCTGCCCACTCGCGCCCCACCAGCACTGATGACTGTGTGTGAATATGCCACAATTTGAGCTATAAGAAATCTGGTAAATCTTGGCCACCAGTCTCTGTCTACAATCAGCTCTAGAGGGTCCTTGAAATCAGCACTATCTTCAGAGCATTAGTATTTGCGTAAGGGTATGACCTGGGATAGAGAGATACTGGATACTTTTTCTATATCAAAATAACTGAAGAAGACATGTGATTGCTAAAATTGATGGTTGAAATGAGAAAGAAGGAAACTCCGAAACCTGTTGAGAAATCTACATTCAGGAAATTTTTGCCTGGAATTGCCCTGTGAAATTGATATAGTTTCCAAAGTATTCTTGATCTTTGGAAAAGTGGTTGTCATTGTTGAGTTATGCCCAAGACCTAAGGCTCTGGTGTATTTCTAATTCAGTTTTCAATTTCAAACACAATGCTTAGGGCATAAGCATAGCACTTAAGCAGTGATTTCTTGTGAACAAATCCTGAATTTGCCACTTTGAGGACAGTCATGATGATGCATTATCTGCTGTTATGAAATGCGATATGATTTATGAGAAAAGTCATTCTTTATATGCAGAAAACTCAGGGTGGATGGGCTCTATACTGGCCACCCTCTGCATCCCTACCTTAAAAACAAGCCTAAGTAATATGTCAGAGAGTAATCGCTCAACCTGCTGAGCCCATTTCCCACAAGTCTTGTACTATCAGAACCTAAATGGATATGCTGTAATAGCTGAAATCTGTGCCAGCATGAGTTATAGACTTTTATGGAAGTAGTCACTAAATAAACATTTCCAGAAAAACCCTACATATATGTTGATATGCATAAGACTTAAATATTAGCGTAGGATCACAACAGAAGTTTATAATTAGCACAAGTGAAGTAGAGCTATAAAGGGAGTCGCAGAACTTCTTACCTTTCTTAACTGAGTTAAGAAAGTTTCTTTGACCTGACCTGAATTTAACTTTTACTTAGAAAGCATCTGATATCTCAATTCAAACGACTATTTTTTTTTTTTTACTAAGAAACCAATATTTTAAGACAAATGCAATAGTAACATGCGACCAGAAGTTTCTCTTCACTGCCATGAAGGAATGATGACTCAAAAGTCAGTAGCTGTTTGACATTCTCAGTGGCATCTCCACGCTGGCAGATTTGAACTTACTGAATGTCTGTTTTTAGTATGCTAGTAGGAGGAAACCTCTTTTTTTAGAGTGATCTGTTTTGTTTATTTTCAATATGGAATGAAAACAACATATGGGTTCTAGCAAAACAGTTGATGGACTTTTTTTTTCCCCCAAAATGATTTAAATGAACTATTTTTACTCCACAGGGTCAGTTCAGATTTCAGAAAAGAGATCATTTTCGGATCTCTGTCAAAAGCACAGGTTTTAAACTGGATGACACCTTCTGCCCCACTCATGATTTTTCCAGGAGGTAATAAAGAGCTTATTGGTAGTTTCATCAGAAGATCCAACTTGAAGAACCCTCTACTTTTTTTTCTTCTTGCAGTGATTGGGATATCAAGGTTAGCCCAGAATTTTGTATGAATAAAAAGAAAATCTTCTTGTAGGAGTGGTTATTTGGGCTGTTATTTTATCACTACCCTTGGAAGCTGTCAGTGGTGCCTTCAGTTACCCAGTCTTTTAATTTTTTTCTTCAAGAGTCAATTAGCAAGGAGAGTGGACCATTCTCCCCATTGAGCATAGATACTTTTTCTTGCTTTTTCTTAAAAGGCAGGGTAATGGAGACTTAGTGTGTATGTTTCCTTGAAATTCCCTTTATACACATTTTCCATGTTGTAGTGAAAATGAACTATACATATATGACACTGAGTCTCATTTATTTATTATTTCTTTGTTTGTTTGTTTCTGAAATTTCAGATTACCAATTTGAATTACACGTGTCGGGCTTGCTAGTATTGACCACTTGCCTCGGGGAATTATTGTTGAAAGACAATTTAAAACATTTGATTCTGAAGAGCATAGCCTCTTAGGATAGCAAACATTTTATACATCAACATATTTTTGAATTTTAGAGTACTATAGCAACACATCCAAGACCAAGCTTTCTTAAAATCATGCTGATGTTTGACTCATGAAATACTATTTGTTGTGTAAGATCTGTATGGAGAAAACAGATTGTTTCTTCTTCCACTTTTATTGTGTACTTGTTAATCTATTTCTAAAGGTATTATGCTAATTATAACGCTACTCTTCACATTCAGAATCCGAATTGCTCATTTTCAAGTTTTCCTTTTTTTCAAATTGTAATCTGTTAATTACTTGTTTAATGGAGTGTGTAATTACCTACTTTAAGTTAGGAAACTGTTTCCATTTCAAAGAGAGAAACCTATTTTCGAAATGAAAGAATATAAATGCAATCCTTTTTGATACAGAATATAACTCTTTACTTCCCTTAATGGTTCTAAGTGAGAAAATGAGATTGAAAAACAACTCATTATATTTTCTCTTTATGTCTTTGTGCATACCACATCAAACATAGGTGAAATTTATGACAAAGGTAACAGTTGTCATTTAGCTACACTTTGCAGAGTAATTTTACTCTCCACTCATGCCATGTAAATGACTAATCGCCAGAGTAGAAGGAAAACCAAGTTAGTAATGTGATACGCTTTTTTTTTTTCAACATGTATTTATTTTTGGGACAGAGAGAGACAGAGCATGAACGGGGGAGGGGCAGAGAGAGAGGGAGACACAGAATCTGAAACAGGCTCCAGGCTCTGAGCCATCAGCCCAGAGCCCGGCGCGGGGCTCGAACTCACGGACCAAGAGATCGTGACCTGGCTGAAGTCGGACGCTTAACCGACTGCGCCACCCAGGCGCCCCAGTAATGTGATACGCTTTTGAAAGCACTTTCTTTTTTTTTTTCAAATACTAAGTCAGAGGAACAAACTGAGTCATAAAATAGATTCAGTGAGGGAACAAGATATAAGAGAAGTAGAACAACTTAGGAAATACAACAACAATAAGTAATGTTAAGTTATGGGCTTATACATGACTTATATGGTTTGCACGAATGATTTATTTATTTATTTTTTTCTAAGCAACAACAAGTATAAGGAATAGCCAGAGTGCTCTTATCTCACCTCTGAAGGAGCTGAGCCTTATAGATTTTAAGTAAAATTGGCTATTGTCACTGAAGCAGCAGTAGTCTTCATACTATAAGTCGTTGCTTCCAAACAAATTGCTAGCTACTATCATGGAAATAACTGGATTTATATACTCTTACGAAATGAAAAAAGAATGGACTTTCATAATATGATGATAATGAACATTTATTTGCTTGACGGTCCATGTCGGGAGTTGGAAATTGATCAGAAGAGCTCATGATAACAAAATCTCCATATCATATGAGAAAAGAAGCAATAAACCAGGCCCCACCTTGCTGAAAACGTTTGTAATACAAAAATATGTAATACTGGCACCTACATGAATGCCTTAAGAAACTAGTGGCTAGATAGAGTTATATCAGCAAAAACAAAACAAAACAAAACACCACAGAAGTCAATTAAGGAACTTCAAATTTTCTGTTCCCATAATAGCAAGAAAAAGATTTTAAAAAGTAAGAAAAAAATGGCAAAAATCAACTTCTTCTGTCTGCTAGAAATTAGAAGGCTTCTAGGAAGATTGAGGAGGGGTTAATACGAGAAAAAAGGTGGGACTACTGCATGGCTCAGTCATTTGAATGTCCCACTTTTAATTTAAGCTCAGGTCATGATCTCATGGATTTGTGGGAGCTACACTGACAGTGCAGAGCCTGCTTGGGATTCTCTCTCTCACGCTCTGCCCCTCCCTGCTCATGCTCCTTCTCTTTGTCTCAAAATAAATAAACAAACATTAAAAAGAAAAAAAAAAAGGCTGAATCTCAATGTCAATATTTTTTTTTTTTTGGCATTTTTTTAATCTTGTTCTTACCATTTCTCTCTCCAGTAGCCCAAAACTAACATCCTACAAACATGGTGAAATCCAGAATTCTAGCAAATAGCAGAGGGAGAAGGAAAGGCTGATGCTCCTTCAAAGTTTCGTCCTCAATAAATGAATAATTTTTGTCTGATGATTCCCTGGAAGATTCTACTTGTAAACATGGCTGTATTTGACCTGAGCTGAAGCTCCCCCAGTGAGAAAAGGCTTCTCTTTGGAGGTGTGTGTTGCAAATATTTAGAGATCATTGTTTCTTTTCAGAGCTATCTGAAACAGTGAGGCCAAACAAGGAGTTAATCAAAATGCTTAAAATGAAAAGCCAGGGAATGAGATATTCATAGGGCCTTTTAAAAACACCAAAAGTATTCTGGGAATAGAATGATAGGTACACAGGGCTCTGCACAGCTCAGGAAAAACTTGAGAAGGCCCTGAACTCAACACTGGCTGACCTTGAGAATCTGAGAAATTAGGAAATAAAAGCTAAGATAGAGTTTTCAACCACCTGTTGGAGACATGTTCCAATATGTATAATCTTTCAGATAAGACTAGGAGACTTATTAAGGGAATATCTATCCATTTGTCCAATAAGTTCCCACTAAGTTAATCAGATATTTCAGTAGCTACACATGACAAAGAACACAAGCTTTAAAGATTTAGTTAAAAAATATGAAACAAACAAGCCAAAAATTCAAAACAAAACAAACAAGCAACAACAACAACAAAAACACAGCAACAACAACCAACCCTGAGAAGGGAGAGAAACCTTAGTTCTCACATTATCTTAGAGAGTTGTCACATTACATTATTAGAAATGTCCAATTTGAAACAAAAAATTATGAGGATGCAAAGAAATAAGAAAATTTGGCTCATACACAGAAACAGATTTATCAATAGAAAGTATCCTTGAGGAAGCCAACATGTTGGACTTACTAGACAAAGACATTAAATCAGCTTTTAAAGATATGTTCTGAGAACTGAAGGAAACCGTGTCTAAAAACATAAAGAAAAATATGAGGATGTCATCTCACCAAATAGAAGGTATCAATAATGATCTAGACATCTCACCAAATAGAAGGTATCAATAATGATCTAGACATGATACAAAAAAGAACAAAATATAAATTCTGGCCTTGAAAACACAACTAAAATATTCAATGGAGAGCATCAATAGCAGGTTTGAGGAATTGGAAAAAAAATTACAAATTTGAAATTCATTTGAGATTATCTAGTCTGAGGACACATAATGTATATTTTAAAAAAAGATAGAATTTTTTTCAAGTATTAATGTCTGGAAACTTACTAAATTTGATTAAACAAAAACAAAAACAAAATATTATTTGACACATCCAAGAAGCTCAACTAATATCAAGTAGGTGAAATTCAAAGAGATCTACATATAAATAATTTATAACCAAACCACTGAAGCAAACATAAAGAGATAATCTTGAAAGCAGCAAAAAAAAAGTGACTTATTATATATATGGAATTGTTAATAAGATTAATAGCTAATTTCTCATCAGAAACCATGAAATCCAGGAGGCAAGTGAGAAGACATATTCAAAGTGCTGAAAGAATGATAGTCAACTAAGAATTCTATATCCAGCAAAATGATACTTCAGAAATGAAGTAAAAATGAAGCATTCTATACTGAAAGACTTAGTAGTCACTGGCAAACCAGCCATAAAGAAATACTAAAGGGAATCCTTCAAACTGAAATAAAAGGATACTAGATAGTAACTCTAAGTCATATGAAGAAAGAAAGAACTCTAGCAAATGTAACTACATAGGTAAATGTAAAAGACAGTGTAAAAATATGTAAAAGACATATTTTAATAAATTTTCTTCTTCTATCTGAGACAACTGTTTAAAAGGCAACTTCATAATGCAATAACTATATAATGTGTTGATGGCATAAAATGAGCCAAGATGTAATTTGTACAAAAATAGCAGAACAAAGGAGAGGGAAGATAACTGAGATATAGAGGAGAAAATTTTTTATGCACTATTGAATTCAAGTTGGTATTAGTCTGGACTAGAGTTTTGTAAATTAAGTTAACTGTGAATTTTATTAAGAAATAACTAAAAATTATAGTAGAAGACATGACAGGGAAATAAAATGGTGTGCTAGAAAGTACCAATTTAACACAAAAGGCAAAATGCAGGAATACAAGAAAAAAAATATGATACAGACATACACACACACTCACACACACATAGCCAGGAACATATGGCAAAAAATAAGTCCTACATCATCAATAATTACGCTAAATGTAGATAGATTTAAAATTTCTATTAAAAGTCATGCTTGGCAGTATGGGTTAGAAAGAAAAAGTGACAAAACATGATAGAACTATATATTGTCTATAAGTGATACACTTTAGATTCAAAGACATAAATAGATTGAATGTCAGTGGATGAAAAAAAGATATTCCATGAAAACTGTAACCAAAAAAGAGCTCGGGTGGCTGTACTAATACAAGGAAAATAGACTTGGAGACAAAATTTGTTATTAGAGCGAACAAACATACTTTATATTAAAAAGGAGTTGATGCAAAAGTATATACACACCAGTATAAATGCACATGAACCAAATTATAGAGCTCAAAATATGTGAAATAGAAACTGTCAGAATTGAAGGGACAATTCACTAAAAATGAATTTACCTCAATACTCATCTTCCAATAATGGATAGATAGAAGATATATAAGGAAAGGGAAGATTCAGATAATACTATAAACCAATTAGACCTGATGTATATCTGTAGACCAAAAAGAATAGAATGCACATGAAACATTTTCCAGGATAGATTATTTGCTAGCCCATAGAACAAGTCTTAATGGAAAAAATCAATAAAGGAAATCTGGGAAATTTATAAATAAATAGAGATTAAACAACACACTCTTAAACAGCCAATGGATCAAAAATAAATCACAAGGAATATTAGAAAATAATTTTTGATGTATAAAAGTGAAGGCACAGCGTACGGAAACTCATGAGCTGTAGCAAAATCAATTCTCAGTGGAAAATTTACAGCTGCAAATGCCTACATTATAAAAAATACATGTACAGTTAAGCAATAACCTAACTTTCCACCTTAAACTAAAACCAGCAGACCAAAGGATCCTAAAGCAAGCAAGGAAGGAAGTCATAAACAGTAGAGTAGAAGTAAATGAAAGAGCATATAGAAAACAAATAGACAAAAATCAACATAAATTTGGTTCTCTGAAAAGATCAACACAATAGAATAATATTTAGCTAAATTAGCTATTAAAAGAGAGAGAGGGCTAAAATGAAAGAAGACACATTACCACTGTCCTTACAGGAATAAACAGACTTATAAGGGAAGTCTATGTCATCAAATTAGATAAACTAAAGGAAATGGACCAATTTCTACAAAGATGGAAATTACCATAGTTAATTCTATAAGAAATAGATAAATTGAAAAGACCTATAACAAATAAGGAAATTGACTCAGTACTTAGAAAAGTTTCCACAAAGAAAGGCACAGGACCAGATGGCTTCACTGTTAAATTCTACCAAACGTTTTGAGAAGAATTAACACCAATCTTTCACAAACTCTTCCACAAAATAGAAGAGTAGGCAACACTTGCCAATTCATTCTATGAGGCCAATTTTAACATAATACAAAAGTCAGATAAAGAATTTACAAAAATATAAGAGAGAGAGCAGTATCTCTTATGAATACATACAGAACTTTCTCAACATTCTCGATAACATACCAGCAAAACAAATACAGTAACATGTAAAAAATAGCATTGCAAGCCATGACCAAGTGAGATTTATTGCACTAATGCAAAGGTGGTTGCAAAATACAAAAAGCAATGTAATACATTATGTTAATACGATAAAAGACATATACTTGATCATGCCAATAGATGCATAAAAAGCATTTGACAACATCTTATATCTTTTAATGATAAAGACACTTAAATTCAGAAGAAATGGGAATGTCTTTACTCTAATAAAAGGCATATGCAAAAAAGAGTTAATTTTGAATAATTGACTGTTTCTTCTATAAGATCTAGAGCTAAAAGTCATCCAGATTGGAACAGAAGAATGAACGTTATTTCTGTTTGAAGATGCCATGATCTTGTATATAGAAAATTATAAGGGATACATTACAAAATAGAGCTAATAAATTAAGTCAACAAGGTTAAGGACACAAGGTCAACATAGAAAAAGCAATTTCATTTTTACACTAGCAATGAACAATTTAAAAATTAAATTAAGAAAACTTTTCAACTTATTGTCAAAAAGAATAAAATATTTAGGAATACATTTTTAAAAAATGTGTGCAACACTTGTGCACTGAAACTATTAAACATCATTTTAAGATACTAAAGAAGACCTAAATAAATGGAAATATTTTCCTTTTTATGGATTGGAAGATTTAATATTGTTTTTTTTTTTAATTTTTTAATGTTTTTATTTATCTTTGAGACAGAGAGAGACAGACCATGAGGAGGGGAGGGGCAGAGAGAGAGAGGAAGACACAGAATCCAAAGCAGGCTCCAGGCTCTGAGCTGTCAGTACAGTCTGACGCGGGGCTCGAACTCACAGAGTGGGAGCTCATGATCTGAGGTGAAGTTGGACACTTAACCAACTGAGCCGACCAGGTGCCCTGGAAGATTTAATATTGTTAAGATAGCAACATTCCCCTAATTCATCTACAGATTCAGTGCAATCTCTACCAAATATGTTTTTTCTAGAAGAAATTGAGTAGATGATTCTAAAATTCATATGGGAATTAAAGGAACTCAAAACAGTAAAAACAATCTTGAAAAAGAACAAACTTATAGTACTTACACTGTCCATTCTCAAAAAGTTATCACAAAGCTAGAGTAATCAAGACAATGTGGTACTGGTATAAGGTAAACATACAGATCAATAGAATTTATAAACAATTGATCTTATAGGCAATTGATTTTTGAAAAAAAATGTTAAGCTTATTCAAAGGCAGAAAGTGCAATCTCTTTAAACAATGGAGCCGGTACAAGGAGGTATCCATATGCAAAAGAATAAGTTTGCATCTCTACCTCACACTATGTATAAAAAAATATCTGAAAGTGGATCAAATATCTAAATATAAGAGCTACAAGTATAAAATTCTAGGGTGCCTGGGAGGCTCAGTAGGTAGAAAGTCTCTGACTCTTGATTTCACCTCAACTCATGCTCACAGG